TGCAAGGTGGAAAACTAATTTCACTTGGCTAGCAAGGAGATGTTCAATTTCTTTGTCCATTCAACCAAGAGCCACAGAGTGTCTACTATGAGCAAGACAACGTGTAAAAAGTGAGGATGGACCAGATTCTGGCCCTCATGGATGTGACACACCATCAAGGAAAGAAGACATGAGCAGGCTGGGCATGGCGACACACGCCTGAAATCCCAACACTTTCAGAGGTCGAGGCAGGTGGATCACCTGAGGTGAGCAGTTTGTGACCAGCCTGGCCAACATGGCAAAACCCTGTCTCTACTAAAAATACAAAAATTGGCCAAGCATGGTGGTGGGCACCTATAATCCCAGCTACTTGGGAGGCGGAGGTTGAACCCAAGAGGCGGAGGTTGCAGTGAGCCAAGATCACACCACTGCACTTCAGCCTGGATGACAGAGCGAGATTTCAACTCAAAAAAGAAAAAAACAAAGAAGATATGAGCAAATCATTTCAAAACATCCTTTAGTACCGGGAGAAGTCAGCAGGATAAAATAATTAAAGGTGTTTCATGCCATCATCTCCTGGGAGAAAAAGGCCAAACCAGACCTAGGGGAAAGTCTATCAGAATCCTAACCCAAATGCAACAGACACCAGCAAACCAAAAGTTATCCTGAACCGCCATGAAATGGGATTTTGCACAGTCTGTATTTTTAGAACTTTCTCAGTCCTTTGTGCAGTCCTGATTTGACACAGGGGTGTTCACCTCTTAATCTCCAGATTCAAGAAATATAATCATCGGAGCTTCAAATATGCGAGAGAAGCCCCATACGGGAAAGTCGGAGACCACAGTGGCCTCCCGTGACCCTGTGCCACAAATGCAGAACACACATGCAGCCAGGGAGAGGAGAAAAGAGAAACCCAGGGTAGGGTTATTCCCACCACCCAAAAATGCCAAACAGGTGGTCCTCAGCATATGCCTGGGGTGACGGCCCATTCGTGGCAAGTCAAGGCTGTTAGTGGGCAAAGGCCCACTGTCGCTGCAGGCCACTTTCTGAGGGCTTTCTCCTATATTTTTTCAGATCACTTCCGGGAGAGTTGGTACGCTCAGGTGTTATCACTGCCACTTTACAGACATTTATGAGATATAAACACGGCGGTACACTATAAATCATCATTCTTAATGTGGCAGGGAATACCCGACTAACACTAGAAGAAGCGAAAGCATTACTCAAAGAGTATTTCAATCTGGTCTATAGGAAAATCAAGCTGTGATGGCATCAGCAGAAGTCACGTGTTGCTAGTTTCAAAAACCCTTGGATTCTTCGGCAGAGAGGAGAGGAGGGAATTCAGCTGGGAAAGACATAATTTCTTCCACCAGCAGCTTTCTCTAGTGTTCGTTTGTGGTTCCTAAAAATGTGACAGCTGAAAAAACACATACCCAGAATAGCATGCCTTCCATCTCTTCCAGGCCCTGTGCCTTGGCAGACATTACTAATCAATCGTGATGCTTTTTCCTGCTACACTTAGTGCCACATAATCCTGCAGAGTAATTCAGGCAACTGAGAGCAATCAGGCTGGGCTGGCCTGCTCTTGCTCTCCCTGCTCTAACAATCATCCTAAAAGCCAGCTGTCTTCATGCATCAGGAAATCAGGGCAGAAGAGTACAATGCTATTTTGCCATAGCCCTCAAGAGATTTCCTAGATCCGACTTTGACTTGGTTTGCCCCAAGTTATGTAAAGGAGTATGAACCCTTGTTTATATGGGTAATTCTAAAACATAATGGAATCCTATTTTCTATGTCCCCCGAAGGTCACTCTGGAAACTGATGCAACGTTAGCGCTACCCAAAGACAAGACAAATCCGTGGCGTGACCCCCAGAGGCCCTTTCTGGACCAGATTGAAGGAGCTCCGATTATCTAGTAATTTGATCCACTAATATCACAGGATCAAGTGGATCAGGTGGAAAATGCTCCATAATCAAAACGTAGATATGTTCACGTTCGAAGCACCCATTTATACCAACAGTTCTGTCTTCACCAAAAACAGCTGTAGAAGCACCTCACAAAGAGTCTCATTGGCAACTAAATGAACAGCTCCTCCCTGCCTCCCACTGCAAGCTCATCCTCCAACAGAGATGTTATGAAAAGGGTGACTCGGCTGACTGTCTGTGGACATTGTAAGGCACCATCCAGACCCCCTTCAGTTACGAAGGTCCCATGCTCCCATCTATCGGGCCCTGTTAGCAACCACCTCCACTGAAGGGTCCTGTCTTGCCAGAGGTCAGGCCAATGCATACCCAGTGACTAAGATTACAGGACTGTAATGGCCAGGCTCCTGGCCTCATGGGGGACAACTCTCAAATTCCAGCCCAGCTTTGGAGCAGCACTAAGAAGGTTTCTTGGCTTCATGGAGACTGCATGCAGCTCACTCGTGCGTCCCCCTCCCCCCTGCCACAGATGTTCACCCCAAGCTGCATCTCAGCATTGGCTTCTCAGGTAACCCCACTTGCAAAAGAATGAGCAGTGGGAAGGAAAAACAATAACAGGCTAAAATGTGGTACATATGCACCATGGAATACTACACAGCCATGAAAAAGCAACAAAATTCCACCCTTGACAGCAATGTGGATGCAGCTGGAGGCCGTTATCCTGAGCTAATTCACACAGGAACAGGAGACCAAATACCGCATATTCTCACTTACAAGTGATAGCTAAACCTTGGGTACTCATGGACCCAATGGCAACAAGAGGCCAGGCGCGGTGGCTCATGCCTGTAATCCCAGCACTTTGGGAGGCCAAGGCAGGTGGATGCCCTCAGGTCAGGAGTACGAGACCAGCCTGACCAACATGGAGAAACCGCATCTCTACTAAAAACACAAAATGAGCCGGACGTGGTGGCACACACCTGCAATCCCACCTACTAGAGAGGCTGAGGTGGGAGAATCGCTTGAACCAGGGAGGTGAAGGCTGCGGTGAGCCAAGATTGCACCATTGCACTCCAGCCTGGGCAACAAGAGCAAAATTCCATTAAAAAAAATGGCAAGAAGAGACACTAAGACTGCTGGAGGTGAGAGGGTGGTGGGGAAGGTGAGGGCCGCAGAACGACCCATGAGATCCTACGCTACCTACCTGGGCGATGGGGTCATTCGCACACCAAACCCCAGCAACATGCAATCGACCCATGTAGCACACCTGCACGTGCACCATCAGAATTTAAAACAGAAGATTATTTTAAGTTCCAGGATATACCTACAGGTTTGTTACCCAGGTAAACATGTGCCATGGTGGTTTGCTGCGCCTACCAACCCACTACCTAGGTATTCAGCCCTGTAAGCAATAGCTGTAAAATAAAGGTTTTTAAAAAAAAAAAAGTAAAATGCCACCCATCTTTAGAATCCTAAGTGCAGGGCACCTGGTCTATCTTTTCCTTTGCTTCTTACAATGTTAGCATGTCCATTTTACCGGGTAAGGGTGGGGGCAGAGTTCAGAAAGATGAAGCAAATTGCCCAAGGTGATGGAGCTTGCCGTCTTGTTCCAGGACACCACAGTGATAAACTACACAGCCTCTCGTTGAACTCCCAATCACTGAACCTGCATGGGCGAGTTACAATAAACATGATTTTGATCAAAATTAGGTGGTGCTGTCTTTCAATGCAATTCAGCAGATGTTCACTGAGCCCTTACCAGTGTGCTAAGAAATTCAACAAATGAGACAGACAGAGAGAAAGAAAATGAGAGTACACATTCCCCAGCTCCTTAGTTTATCAGCCATTAGTGATTACTGATTGAATAGCTACTAAGAGGCACATAGTGGGGATAAACGAATACATACAGCCCCGGCCATAACGAAGGTGGCCAGGGAACCACTGCCAAATGAGGAGAAGCACAGGCGTCCTTAGGACAATGAGGGTTGGTTGATTTCTCCTTCTTCACCCTTAGATCGTTGAGAAACGGGAATTGCAAAGCCCTAAGCTCTGGGTAGTAATGCCCAGGAAACCTCACAAGGTTGTCAGAGAAATGCATTTTATTTTCTAAGCTGCTCTGAGATGCTTGAACAAAAGGCAATGGCTGGCCTCAGCGAGCCAGGCCACTGCAGCTCCGGAAGGTAACAAGACCCCTTTCTACCACAATCAGGCTGGATGCAACACGAAACAGGGAGAGGGTGATTTCTAAAAGAGCCAATTTGACAAGATGATTCTATGAGCTGCTCAAAGGCACAATCATCGAGAGAAGGGGGGACCGAGCAGACATCGAGATACATTTGTAAAAGAGGAGTTTATATCAATAAGGAAGCAGCACAGGCCATCCCTGGGCAGAGAGGCAGCAAGAGCCGCAGACACACACAGCAGCAGCCCGGGGGCCTGGCATCTGCGGCTCCTTCGCCGTGAGACAGCGGGTGCAGAAGCTCAGACGCTCCCTGGTGGATGGGGTGGAGGAGTCAGGATCAAGGGGTATCACGTGGCAGTTCTTCTGTGGTGATGGAACAGCTCTGAATCTCGGCTGTGTTGGCTATTGCGTAAACCTACACATGGAGAAAACTGCACAGAACCACACACAAAAATGGGTGCGGGTGAAAACCGGCCAAAGTGAATAGGGTCTGTGGTTTAGTGAACAGATGGCACCAATGTCAATGGCCTGATCGGGATACCGGGCCACACTTGTACAAGATGTCACCGTGGGGGAAGCTGAGGGAAATATTGACGGGACTCTACTTACTATTATTGTAACTTCTTGAGTCTATAATTATTTCAGCCTTCTCCTCCCTCATCCTCCCTTTCCCTCCTCCTCCTCTTTCCTCCCTGACTCTCTCCCTCCTCCCCCCTCCGTCTTCCTCCCTCTCCCTACTCTTCCCTCCTCCTTTCTCCTTTGTCTGCTCCTCCCTCCTCCTCCCTCTCCTTCCTCCTCCCTCCTCCCCATCCTCCTTCCTCCCCTCTCCCTCCTCATCCTCTCCCTACTCCTCTTCCCTCCTCCTTTCTCCTTTGTCTGCTCCTCCCTCCTCCCCCTCCCTCCTCCCTCCTCCCCCCACCCCCCCTTCCCCCCCTCCTCCCCCTCTCCCTACTCCTCTTCCCTCCTCCTTTCTCCTCCTTTGTCTTCTCTTTGCTTCTCCTCTTTCCTCCCCCTCCCTCCTCCTTCCTCCCACTCCCTCTCCCTCCTGCCTCTCCCCTCGTCCTCCCTCTGCCTCCTCCTCCTTCCTCCACCTTTCCTCATGTCCCTCTCCCCCTCCCTCCTCCCTCTCCTTCTTCCCCCTCCCTCTCTCTCCCAGCTCCCTCTCCCTCCTCCTCCCTCTCCCTACTCCTCTTCCCTCCTCCTTGATCTTTCCTCTGCTCCTCCCTTCTCCTCAACTTTCTCCTCTTCCCCTTTGCTCCATTCTCCCTCCTCCTCTCCCACCCTCCTCCTCTACCCTCCTTCTCCCTGCTCCTCCTCCCTCTCCCTCCTCTCTCCTCCACCTTTCTCCCTCCTCCCTCTCCCTCTCTCTCCTCCCCTACAAACAAGGCCGGACCCAATACCCTCTGACACTTCTCTTTGCTTACTGGTACTTTTATTTCCACGAGCTAGATTATCAGGAGTAAGAAGGCTGAGTCAAGAGGTTTTTGTTATTTTCAGTTAACAGCTACTGCCTAATTGCTTAGCAAGAAAACGCTTCACTTTGACCAACACGTACAGACACCCTTTCCCCTCGATTCCCACCGGCAACAGGCATCATGGCTCTTTCCGTATTCTTGACATTCGCACAGCTAGAAACTGATATCGGTCTGGGTTTTCACGTCACTAACCACGAGCATGCCTTCACGTGTGCTGGCGCCTTCTGGATATGCTCACCCAACCACGGCCTCTCCGTACTCATTTTTCTATTGGGTTTCTTAGGCTCACGAGGATGAGTAAGCGATATTTGCATATTCTTTGCAAAATTTCGTCCGAGACTACTATTCAGCTACTGACTCTGGGGCATGTTTTGCCACTCAAATGTCTTTTTTTAATAATTAAAGAATCAAATAAGCCTGGCTCTGGAGACTCTGTGTTCCCAGGCCCTCCTGGGGTGGGGGTGATTTATTTTCTTCTTGGGCTCCCTGGGGCAAGGAGCCTCACTGGAGTCTCCCCACAGGGATTCCCTTACCTTCTCAGGGCCAAAGTCCTCCCCAGACTCATGACATTCTAACTCGCCCCATTCTCTCTGCTGGAACTCGAAAAGTCAAAGCCACGCTTACACATGGACACCCGAAAGTCCCAGCTGCTATTTCACTCAGCAGAGGTGGATGGATTAGGTTTACAAGTAAAGGGGAAAGAAGCCAGATTCAGACTGCTGCCTTCACAGAATCCCATTCCTTCATTTAAGAAGGTAGATGACAGCTGGGAGTGGTGACTCATGCCTGTAATCCCAGCACTTTAGGAGGCTAAGGCAGGCGGATCTCTTGAGGTCAGGAGTTCTAGAACAGCTTGGTCAACATGGTGAAAACCCATCTCTACCAAAAAATACAAAAATTAGCCAGGTGTGGTGGCATGTTCCTGTAGTCCCAGCTACTCTGAGGAGTGAGAGGGAGAATCACCTGAACCTGGGAGGTGGAGGTTGCAGTGAGCCAAGGTCATGCCACTGCACTCCAGCCTGGGCTGACAGTGCAAGATGCTGTCTCAAAAAAGAAGAAGGAAGAAGAACAGAGGAGAATGAAGAAGAGGAGGAGGTGGTGGTGGCCGATAATGGCCGGGCATGGTGACTCATGCCCGGAATCCCAGGACGCTGGGAGGCTGAGGCAGATGAATCCTGAGGCCAAGAGTTTCAGACCAGCCTGGGCAACATGGCGAAACCCCATCTCTACCAAAAATATACAAAAATTAGCCGGGTGTGGTGGCGCATGTCTGTAGTTCCAGCAACTCAGGGCCCTGCAGACTCGGGGTCAGGGGACGCTGAGGTAGGAGGATCACTGGGACCTGGGAAGGTCAAGACTGCAGTGAACCATGATTGCACCACTGCAATCCAGCCTGGGTGACAGAGTGAGACCATGTCTCAAAAAAAAAAAAGCTAGATGCAGAGTCTGTGAGTATGAACCTGTGTGTGTGTGAGTGTATGAGTGTGTGACTGTGTGTGACTGTGTGTGAGTGGATGTGTGTGTGTCTATGTGTGTGAGTGCATGTGTATGTGTGTGTATGTGACTGCGTGTGAGTCAATGACTGTGTATGTGTATGTGTGTGAGTGTGTATGTGTGTGAGATATGTGTGAATGTCTGTATGAATGTGTATGTGTGAGTGTGTGAATGGAGGTATGTTTGTGTGTATGTGTGAGTGTGGTGTGTGTGAATGTGTATGTGTGAATCACTGTGTTTGTGAGTGTGTGTGTGTGTGTATGTGTGTGTGAGTGTGTATGCGGATGGTGGAGAATATTCATTAAAAACTCCTGGTTTGATTTTGAAATATCTTCCAACAGGATGGAAATATGCGTGCTGAATAGTTTCTATTTTTCTTACTATTCCCTGGTTACCTAAAACAACCAAGCTTCATTAAACAGACGCAGAACATAAATCCACCTTGTTTGTTTAAATCTACTTCACTGACCCCAAACCAGCATTGCATTATTGTGGGTATGACTCTGGTCTGACCAGGCCCGGTATGTTAGTTTGCCACCACTGTGTAACAAATCACCACAGACCTGGTAGCTGGAAACAGCACCCGTCTGTTCTCCCACAGTCCTGTAGGCTGTATGGACTCAGCTGGACTTGCTTCAAGGGTCTCACAGACCCAAGTCACCTTATCAGCTGAGCTGGGCTGGTATCTGCAGACACTGGCAAAGACCCTGCCTCCAAGCTCACGTGGGCTGCAGTTCCTTTTGGATACAGGACCAGCGTCCCTGTCTCCTTCGTGGCTATCGGTCAGGGTCCCTCTCTGCTCCTAGGGGCCACCCACATACCTTCTCCATCTTCAAAACACAGCAGCACTTTGAGCCGCTCCCAAGCTTCATCTGTCTGCAACTTCTGCTGGCAGCTAGCGAAAGCCCTCTGCTTTTGTGCATTCAGATGAGGTTCACCAAGAACCATGCCATAGAACAGAACTCAACCATGGGAGTGATGTCTCATGGCATTCACAGCTTCTGATGATTAGGGGGCATGGGACCTCAGAGACTGTGATGGCTAATACTGAGCACCAACTTGACTGGGTTGAAGGATGCAAAGCATTGTTCCTGGGTGTGTCCACGAGGGTGTTGCCAAAGGAGATTAACATTTGAGTCAGTGGAATGGGAGAGGCGGATCCACCCTCAAACTGGGTGGGCACCCTCTCATCAAATGCCAGCACAGCCAGAAAAAAAACCAGGCAGAGGAATATGAAGAGCGTAGACTGGTTTAGCCTCCTCCAGCCCACATCTTTCTCCCTGGCTCGATGATTCGCGCCCTCGAACATCAGACTCCAAGTTCAGCTTTGGGACTCAGAATGGCTTCCTTGCTCCTCGACCTGCAGATGGCCTACTGTGGCACTTCGCCTTGTGATTATGTGAGTCAATCCTCCTTAATAAGCTCCCCTTTATATACCTGTGTATGTGTATATATCTCCTATTAGTTCTGTCCCTCTAGAGAACCCTAATACAGCGATCGTCCCTAGAAATCCAGCCTGCCACACCAGGGTACAATGGCACATCCTAAGAACCCACTGGGCTCAGGTAAGCTGGTCTGTCACTGCTCCAGGCTGGTTTCTGACTCTCTGAGGTACCTTCCCCACCTTGCTCTCTCTGGCCCACCTGATCCTAAGTGCCCCAACCCAGTTCAGACCTCAGCTAGATACTGTCCTGGCTGCCTTCACCCTGAGCTGAGGCACCACCCTTCGCACATTGTTTGCTTGTGATTCTCTAATTGTCAATTTGTTTATCTCTTCCACAGAACAGGCTCACAAGGACACAGTCTGAGTCTTTCTCCTTTGCTAACCAGGGTATCACGCTATTGTGGGTTCTCCATAAATGGTGCAGAAGGAAGGAAAGGAGAGAGGGAGGGGTAAGAGGAAGGAAATAAAGGATGAAGGAACACTGGGAGAGAGAGAGGAAGGAAAGGCAGAAGAGGGAGGAAGGAAGGGGAAAGAGAAATAGGGCTGGGGGCGAGGCAGGTATGGCGGGTTGGTCAGGAGGTCATCCTCATCCTATAAATCTATGGGAGGTGTGGCAAGGTGATTAGGAAGTCATCCTAGAACTCAAGAGGAGGCATGGAGGGGTGGTTAGGAAGTCATCCTCATCCTATAAATCCATAACTGGTTCACATTCATATTCTCTCTCTCTCTCTCTCTCTCTGTGTGTGTGTATGTCTCTCTCTCTCTCTCTCTCTCTCTGCCCCCAGAAGAAATATTTCCTGAATTCATGTCTGTCGCCTATCTTGTAATTAATGATTTGGTCTTTCCTGGCATGCTTGAGTCACTACATTTGGGCTTTGTGCTTCACACAACACCCTGGTACTCCATCGTTCCCCTCTGTGTCTTCTCAGATGCTGTGAGCCCACCTGCCTCCCTCTAAGATGTCCCCAAAGGCCAGGGCCCAGCCTGCCCACTCTATCCCTAGCTGCCTTGCCATTATCACTCAACATCATCATCATGAACAGCTAACACTCTAATATATCTGCAAAGAAGTACACTATTGACCATTAATTATTCCCACTTTTTAAAATCGACTTAAGGAAAGGTTTTAAAGCAGTGAGACCACACGGGACATTCAAGGACATTTCTGCAGTTCACAGATTTTTTTTTTTTTTTTTTTTTGGAGATGGGGTTTTTCTCTTGTCACCCAGACTGGCGTGCAACGGTGTGATCTCAGCTCACTGCAACCTCCGCCACCCAGGTTCAAGTCATTCTCCTGCCTCAGCCTCCCGAGAAGCTGGGACTACAGGTACATGCCACCACGTCCAGTGAATTTCTGAATTTTCAGTAGAGACGGGATTCCACCATGTTGCCCAGTCTGCTCTCAAACTCCTGACCTCAAGTGATCCACTTGCCTCTGTCTCCCGAAGTGCTGCGATTATAAGTGTGAGCCACTGCACCTGGCCAGTTTACAGATCCTAGTAGGGGGACACCCAATAGTCTCTAAAGACACAGTCACTCTCTGAACCTCTCCATTCAACATACATTTATTAAATGCCTGCTGTATTCCCAACCAGGGCAACTTCCTGATATTGCAGGCCTTCCGCTATCCAATCTGAAAAGGGCTTGCAAGTAAGCATCCCATCTATACCAGCCCACGCCTGCCCACCTTTGCTCTCTTGTGGCTGTTTTCCTCCTCTCAAGCCAGAGATGCAAATTCCATGATTGATAATCTTTGTCCAGAACACACACAGTGCTGAGGGGCACTTTATCTACTGTGTTCTTTCACCACAAAAATCTTAATGCATCTTCAGAAATGTGCTTTCTCCCCCTCCGTGGAAGAAATGACTTTGTCAATCATGCATGTTTTGCTAGACTTACTGAATTACCTAACAGTCAAGATAATGTCTCCCTAGCCCATTTTCACTGTGGAACCAGCTTCTCCTCATTAAATTATGTTTGGACACATTGATTTCCTTCAACAGGGAGTAAGGGAACCCTGCCAGAAATTAACACTAATCTTCTAATTCAGTAAGAATAAAATATGTGAATGATTAAATCTTAATTAACAGTTCACAAAAGGCTGCTTAATGTCAGGTGGCATATGCATCTTAATTACTCAGCAGTGCTACGGCTCTTGCAAAATGAAGGAAGGGCTGTGAGACTTCTGTAGGATTCACTGGATCGTTGTTGCTGCAGTTGTTCTACTGCATCTTCCTCCTTGCTCCCTCTACATATTTGTGGTTGTGAGTGGTCTGGGTTTTACACACAAGAACTTGTCATTGCTGTGCTCTGCTCCATACGCCATCCCTTTGATTTCCATCTGAAGGAGGGCAGAGAGTCTATCAGATAGTCAGGATGGGCTGGGTTATGCTGCAGTAACAAACACAACACTTCCCTCCTCTTTACTGAACATAGACAGGATCAATTAACTTCAGTTTGCCAAAGCAGATTACTTGGTTCCCATCTGCATGAATCATTGAAGGGATGCTGAATCCAACTCTGGCCCCAAAAAAGGAGGTAAAGAGAAAATCTTGAAGACAACCAGAGAAAAATATGACACAATACATATAGGGAACGGTTGTAAGCATTGTAAGAGACTTCAAACATGCAGTCCAGAAGAAAATGCAGTGAGATCCTTAAAGTGCCATAAGAAACATTTTTGAAAGGTGTCAGCCCAGAATTCTATAACTTATGCAATTACGTTTTTAAAATGAAGGAGGGATTTCTAGTTTCCAGCCCAGCATGGAAACAGCTTGGAAGGCATCACTACTGTCCAACAAACAAGGGGAAATAAAATGAACTAAACATCAGTGATTCTTCTTAGATTCACCAGATCACTGAGGTCAAAAAAGGAAAGACAGATATGTATATTCAGCTAAACTATAATCCAGGGCTTAAGATAAGGGTCTCTGGAGCCAGCCTCCCACATGTAACTCCTGACTCCGCCACTCATAAACATTCATAAATGTGTGACCTTAGACAAATGACCCACCTTTTTCAGGGCCTCAATGTCCTCACCTGTAAAATGGGACCGTAGTGTCCAGGAGTCAGTGTGAGGATTAAATGAGATGTGAAACCAAGTGTTTCTGGCATAGCATGTGGGCTTGATGTCAACTCTCAAGAAAGGAGATGTTCAGGTGTTTCCAGTGTAAGCCTTAAAAGTCAGCCCTGTTCCTCAGCCACAATCAAACCTCTCCTTTCTCCTTTCTATGATGTTCCGGAGAAACCCCCATATATGACACTATCAATGCATTTCAGCTCTCAGCTCCACCACAGTGGTCTCTGAGTCCACATACATGCAGAGGAACACTTCGCATTTCTGAATGCCCATAAGGCTCATCTATGCTTCTCTTTGCCCCGGGAAACCGGCCTTTATAACCAACAAATATCCCTGTGTCTCAGCCTTAATGGGGGATACAGGGCATTCTTTTACCACTGTCATTATTTTTGCTATATCCATACCACATTTACAATTACTTAATATTTTCTCTTTAAATAGAATCACCTTTTTACATAAACACATTTACCTTTAGAGGAAGTTTTTTTATCACTATGGTAAATAGAAAACCAGTATCATTTCGAGTAAAAATAAATGCAATGAAAACCAAACGGTGATATTAAATTCTGGCTAGTTGCTATTGCCTGCCAAGACTCAGAGCCTAAGAACTAATCTTTTAAGTGTTTTCTGTTGAATACACACAACGAGGAGAGCAGGTCCCGGAGTTGGATCCCCCAGTTTGCATCCCAGCTCTACGGCCCCTTCACCATGGGATACAGTTTGGCTCTGTGTCCCCGACCAAATCTCATCTCGAATTGTAATCCTCACAGGCCAAAGGAGGGATGTGGTGAGAGCTCACTGCATCATGGGGGTGGTTTTTCCCGTGCTGTTCTCGTGATAGTAAGTGAGTTCTCACGAGAGCTGGTGGTTTCAGAGTATGGCACTTCCTCGTTCTTGTTCTCTCTGCTGCCACCTTGTGAAGAAGGAACCTGCTTCCTTGCACCTTCTGCCATGATTGTAAGTTTCCTGAGGCCTCCTCAGCCATGTGGATCTGCAAGTTAATTAAACCTCTTTTGTTTACAAATTACCCAGTCTCAGGTAGTATCTTTAGAGCTGTGTGAGAAAGGACTAATACACGGTGTGATTAGACATTATCTCAAATGTCTGACCTTCAGTTTGCTCATGTGTAAAATGGGAATGATACACGGGGCGAACCTTACAAGATTGTTAACATATAACCTGGCACATGGCAAACACACAAAACATGTAAGTTATGAAAGAGTGCAAAAGCCTCCACCAAGGATAAAGAACAGGCATGGACTGTTTCCCCCGCACCCATATTTATTGGATGAAGCTTAGGATCTCCAACTCTACTGGCTCCTTAACTTCTCAAAAAGAATGTCACCCAGGATAGTGACTGAGGCAGCCTACCCCCAACTCTGCCGTATTATGTCCAGCCGGTTGTCAATTTCACCCTCAAGATTCAAGCAGTCATTCTAGGCTTGGACTGACGGTGAGTTAGGGGCTGGGGGTCATTTCAAATTTCAGCATTCTAAGCCTGGAGACACTATAAAATGGACTCACGTGGAAATATTGGGAGAAGCCAGGGGGATCCAGCTGTCACCCCCAGCCAAGCATTCCAGAAGCTGGATACTAACCCATGATGCCTATGAAGAAATGATGAAAGACGTAAGA